TGGGGGGTGGGGTGAGGATAATAATAACAATAACTAAGACCAAGAGAGGATGGGGGATCCCGGTGAGGGAATAAAAGGGATGGATCGTCAGTTTTTTTTTCGGAGGGTTGCGGATCACCCATTTTCGGTAAAACTTATAGAAAGCACGGTTTCGGTGCCAATAACATGCCTTGAAACAGGAATAAAATAATGGCAACCATTATATTAACTCGATTATAACCCAATAAAATGCCTTAAAGAAGGATGGATCAAAAGACTATAGCGACGCCTCCCTTCCACTACTTGCGTAAGCGGATCGTGTGCCATGGAATGATTCGCAAGGGAAGAAGAGCAGAAAGGGGCGATTAGATGCATAAGCCAATTGATGGTAAAATCAAACACCCTTCCCATCCCACACAGGGAAGAAAACAATACAATGTTAAAGAGCAGCATTTGCTAATTATCGGAGGCGTTTTTCTACCATCTCGAAGGTCCGAGATAATTGCATTAGCAAAAAATATTCTCTCAAAAACTGAGGGATTCCATTTCCGTGAGACGGCGAGAACTGTATAGAACGGAACAACCTAAGGCAATCTGCGTTTTCAGTTCTTTTTCCCGTTTTCTTCTGGTTTTGCCTTTTTTTCATCCGCCTGCTCTATGGAACGAAGGAATTGCTCACACGACCAGTAGTTTTGAAAGTTTACAATTTTAGTATCGTCAGAGGGTGTAGTTGTGTATGTGTGATACGCTGTGGTCATGTTGCCGTAGGTTTGATCCACCATTAGAGGTTCAAGAACGCATTGACGAACCATTTGAAGAAGCATTATTCGAAATTTAGCAAACCCACAGATCTCAATCGCTTCCTGCACGTTAAGCTGCGCACGCTGATAGGAGGCACCCGTGAATTCCTTTCCCTTTTGAGGATCCGGAATGATTTTCATGGGTTGCGAACCTTTCTGAAGCGCCTCGCAGCCCGCCTTCGTCGCGGCTGGGGTAGCTTCATTTCCTGTTTGAAGCCCAGCAACACGCCGTTTTTGTTTTCCGTATAAAACGTGATCCGCAAAGACCCGTTCGAGCACCATGCAAACCCCCTCCTTCACCGCGAAAGGAAGGCCAACGGCATTTCCCATCCAATGATGCACCATTTCATGCGCAATGAGTTCCACTTGCTCGATTTCGGCGGCGTGATTCTCTTTTCCACTTTTCTTCGCATTTCCGCTATTCTTCGGCGTGAACATGGTTTCATTGAGAAACACACAGCAGTGGTGCTCCATACCAGAGATATAAGGCATCATCGGCACCAAAAGAACCGTCAGCGTATCGCACGCAAGAAGCGGAAGAGGGCTGTGAAAAAAGTCCTGCAAAAGACGAACCACTTCCCACACGACATGCCAAACGCGCGTTAAAGTTTCCATCGGCACCCCACTTTCCACCGTGGCGATAACGCGAAGCTCCAGGCCGTCCGCGCAGTTTTCGTCTTTTTCGATGATTGTTGTTGTGGGGGAATTTCCCTCGATTTGACAATTCGCAGGCGGGGGCTGGCAAAAATGTTCGGCGCGTGCGATTTGAAGACGGCCCGAAGCCATCGGCAGCGTGTGGGGGCCCGCGAAGGCCGCAAAAGCGAGGAGGTAGGCCGGAAAAGGCCCGCAAAGGCCGCCGCGATACCGCACGTCACCCTTTTCTTCCACCGTGGCGGAAGAAAAAGAAGCGATTTCCCCCATAGAAGTGTTTCCTACCACCGTGTGGTAGATCGAGGGAAGCTGGAGGGTTCGCAGCTGCCATTGAATTCGGTATTGCGGGTGATCAGGGCAGGGAAAGGCCCAGCGCGCGAGGGCCACCTCAAAATGGGTCAAAACGGGAAAGCTACGGAAAAGAGAAGCAGAGGATTGCTCAACCAGGTTCGTGCGAGCGGTATTATTATTATTATTAATAGTAGTACTAGTACTAGTATAGGGGCTGTAAATCGCTCCCACATCCCCTTCCTGTACGACGCCGCGAAAACGAACCACAAGCTCCACCTCCACCCCGAGTGGCATCCCTTCAATGACGATAATTTTCGATCCTTCGGCTTCCAAAAGCGAAAAAGGGCTCGCGCTGTCTGACGCCACGTTTTTTGCATTTCCACCGAGTGTTTTTTTCTTCGCAAAAAGCTGAGGATTTTTACAAGCTTTACGACCTTTGCCCGTTTCTTTTTCCCGTTCGTTCGCTTCCCCATCGGCGCCCTCTTCCTCGATGATGGAGAGAATCTTCAGCGGGGTGTTGGAGTTTGAGCAGCGCACCTGATAGGATAGATTGTCCAAGGGAATAAAGCGTTTTTGGGTGGGGCGGGATGCCGTGCAGGCGTGCAGGTGGAGGCCGTTTGCGCGCGAGATATGCGCGAGATGTTGATAGAAGGCATCGTACTCCGACAGCACGATGGGCTCGCGCAAACCGTCGTCAAGATATTTCGTTGCTTCCGATGGAAGGGGATCCCGTCGGTATAAAATCGTGGAAACGCCTGTGTAGGTGCTGCCCGCAATGATCGGTGCGTTGGTAGAGGCCTCCGTCGTATGTTTTTGAGCTTTTTGCGCCCTACTGAAGTAGAGCTGCAAGGTGCAGGAAATGGGATTCCAAAACGCGTCGATTCCCGCCATCCCCGTCTTTTTAACGCCGTCGTCGTCTCCGGATGCGTTTACGAGGAAGGGAAGGATTGGGTGGGTTTTTTCACCTTTTCATTGTTGTATACATATGTATATAATAAGAGGAAAGAGGTGGAATTTTAAAATAAAAGAAACATCCATTCATCCCTTTTAGGTGAATAATATTGACGCATATTCGCAGTGGAGATCATTCCCGTCGAACCTTCCCCCTTCCCTTCCTCCAATTGCAAAAGAAGATTATGGGGCTAAAAAATGGCGGAAGCTTATAAATTGCTTGAGGATCAAATCCACAATTTGAATCCAGAAAAGACGATTGTCTTTACGATTAGCTATTATTCTTTAGTGTGTGCATGTTTGTCAATTTCCTATAAGCTTTTTTGTTTTCGGAGTAAATCATAGCGGTGAAGGGGCTCTCAAAATACACTGTTGCCACGTAATACACGATCCCCACCCACACAGCCAACAACACGCCTACTTCACTGCGATATAAAAAGGCAGTCCCCAGAAAGCTAAGGGTGGATCCAAGATACATGGGACTTTCAAAATGACTAAAAGGAAAAGCGGTAACGCGTTTCTTCATCTTGATTCCAAAATAATCCCCGAGGTAGGTGCCAGTAATCCCCAGACGGCAAAAGGAGCTCACAACGAGTATATTCCCGATAATAAGTAGGAGTACCCCTAGCATCTGCAATAAAGTTTGTAAAATATTTAAATCGGCTGAGAAAGATGCTGAAATCATGGACATCAGCAAGCTTGGATTGTCCTGTACTGCTACCTTGAAGGCAAAATCCCGTAGAAGAGAAGCGATAAAGATCGCGGTAGCTAGCAGATAGGCACCACGCTTCTTTCCTTTAAGAATCTTTTCAATGGTGTGGTGGCGATATTCATTCCGCGCAATAATATTCCACGCTGTGGGGAGCCCCGCAATCGCGATAATCCCTGTAAGGATAGAGTTATAGTCTAACACTGTTAAAGATGTCATTATATAAAAGTTTGGTTGCAATATACGCTTTGTAAAACAGGTCTATAAGCAAAGTGAATAGAGGAAAATTGGAGATGATTGAAAAGTGGGCTAGAAACTTTTATTCATTTATCCCTATTTCTTATGATTTTATTTATATCAGTTTATTTTAAGTCCCATTATAAGCAAGCTTACTTTTTTTCTTGCGTGAAATGGTAGTAAACATTTACCAATTTATTCAATTTTATATATTGGTGAACGTATTTTGATATGCCTATATAAAACTATAAGTGAATACATATGTAGTATGCACTTAGCAGGCTCAGCGCTTACAATGCGTGCAAATTTCATCGCTTCGGTGAAGCCGACCACCCTTTTTATGAATTTATTATGACGATGGCTACACGGTGATCAAATATGGGGGAGATTACTGACCAGGAAGTCTGAAGCCACGTTTTACTGTACAACGACATTTTTGCACTTTATTTTGTTCAGTGGAGTTGCATGGAACTTTGTGAATTGTAATCTCTATGGAGGTTGGTGGCTCCCTCTTGCCATGAATAGTACATAATATAAACCATTAATAAATAAATCGCCTTAAATTAATAAATCTTTATTATCATTATGCATAAAAGACTGGTCAGAGCGTCACCTTCTTCGTCCAAAGATTTGAGTGTGAATAAGTAAATAAAGACTAAACACTATTCGGTACTTCCTTATACGAGCAGGTTTACGGAATAAAGCAAGCAAGCGAGTCCCCTATGTAATCTGGGAGCAAGTCGTTCCGCTTTTCCTTCTTCGCCTTCTCGATATCACTCATCCCTTCCACGCCACTCAGCACTAACATTGTCTGGCAACCCGCAGCATTACCAAAGGCAATATCAGTAATCAACCGATCTCCGATCATCAAACACGACTCCCTCGCGTTGACGATACCCTCCTCCGCGAAGAGGATCGACGCCATGTCGACACTCGGCTTCCCGCAGACGGCGTCTGGGTTGCGCCCGGAGACGGTTTCCACCGCCCGCACCATGCACCCCGCCCCCGGCGCCAGCACGTTCTCAGAGCCTATCGGGATCTGTGGGTCCTCGTTCGTTGCGATAAACCATGCCCTGGGACCCGCAGCGTCCTTACCCTTTCCCGGGAGCGGCGGCGGGCCGCACAGGATCATCCCGGCATACGCGAGCTTTAGCGAACTGAAGTGGTTATCCAGCCCGACCACCACCGCCACCGCGTCGAGCTCCGCGAGCGAGATCCGACGCTCGTTTGACGACCCCGCCTGCACAACCTCCCCTGTGTCATCTTTCCCTTTCCCTGTGTCCTCCCTTCCCATCCCCGGGCCTGGGTTGGACAGGGGGAGGCACAGGGGCTGGCAAGGCGGGGGCAGGACTGGGCTTGTCCAGGCCGTGCGGAGGGCGGCGGGGTCGAGGCCGCCGACGCGCTCGGGGTCGTGGAGCTCAAGGCCGTACGTGACGAAGCCCGGTGCGAGGACCTTCCGCAGCTCCTCGTGCAGCCCGGGCTCGCCGATGACAAAGAGGCTGCCCTGGATGAGGCCGTCGGGCCCGCCGAGGAGCTGGCGAAGCCGCAGGGCCGCGGCGTAGGCGCTGTTGTAGATGTCCCTTTCCGTGAAGCCCTGGATGCCGCGCTGCTGGAGGTGCTCAAGGATCCCCCGACGGGAGCGCGAGGCGTTGTTGGACAGAAGCCGGATCGCCTTGCCGTGCCGGCGGAGGTGGGTCAGGGCCTCCGGGACGCGTGGGATGACCTCGGGGCCGGAGAGCACCACCCCGTCGATGTCCGACAGGATGTACCTCACGGAGGAGTTGAGTAGTTTCGCGGCAAGCGTCTTGTCTACCCGAGTCGGCATGGCAGGAAAGGGCAATATGGTAGTGGGGGAGTGATCGATTGAACTATAATAAGGACACTAGAGGGAAGAAATCACGCGTCAGAATCAAAAGGGGAGAGAGAGAGGGAAAAAGGGGAATTGCTGTTGACACCCATCAGAGAAGCAACACACGACAATTTTTTCCATTTGAGGCACTTTTTCAGATCATCGCTTAGATTCTGCTGCTTGCTTAGCCTGAAATCTGATTCTGTATGAATAATTAAGTTTAACAACTTTCAAGAGAAAGAGAAAGTGAAACGCCAAGGGTTGTGTTGTGCGTTGCGGGGTTTTTAAAACCTTCCGTGATTTGTACCCTTTTATAATTTTTATTTATCGTCTGACTACACATTCGCTAGAATATGCCCAAACGAGGCGTTATTACCGTGTTCCTCGCGAACATGCGCCATCAGCACAGGGTGATCGCGCAGTGCTTGAATAAGCACTTGATCCGGAAGGTTCATCAGGAAATTTCCACACTCGCGGTAGTATTTTTCCGCAAACAACAGCACCCCGCGCCAGAGCTGCGGATCGCTTTGCCAGGCACTCGCCCGCTCGAGCGGAAGAAGCACTTCTTGCACGATGGCACGCACCAAATCAACACCCCGCACGCGCGGAAATGACGCCTCAGCCATTAAAATGGTCGACATTAGTTGTGAAGGTACCGGCGGGGCGTGCATCATGCGTTTAATAGCTTTTAGGACGTCTTCTGGACCGTATAATGGAATTGTGGTTGACGAATCAAATGTTCGGGTGAGTTCCAAGCAAACGGCAAGCACCTCGCGCGTCGTAATTACACCAATCGGTGGCATCACATTTTCACCCTTGTTGTCAAATGCGAGATCCTGCTGTTGAGGCGCTGAGGTATCTAATATTCCATTTTCTTGATTTCTCGGAAAGAGGCCCTGAGCTCCTCCAGAAACGAAGGTGTCCTGTTTACCTGAGCTTTCCTGGGGAGCGCGATGAAGATATATAAAAAAATCCACCAACGACATCCCACGTGCTGCACCGTCGTCAAACCGCAGCGGATGCTTTACTAAAACTTCTCTAATTACCGCCTTAATAAATTCCCGAAGCTCCGCCCGAGTGAGTAAAAAATTAGATTCCTTAGTGGAAAGCCCATCCCGGCCGCCATGGAGCTCAAAACGCCGCTGGAGCTGAAGTTGCACCTGAATAAAATACAAAAATGCGCGAAGATAGGTCTCTTTAAGTTCAGTCGCAAAGACGAGGCTGAGAAAAGGCGCCATAAAACGTATATCATGTAAGCCGCCTTCCGATTCCCCCTCCTTCACGCCATCGGTAGGATCATTTGAGGAAACTGGAATCACGCTTGCCACGTACATTGCTTTAAAATGCGCGAGGAGTGCGATAGCGACCTTTTTGTAGTTTTCTAAGGTTTCCATACCATTTGCCATGCCCACCGCCGAGGCCTCCGTGGCCATCTCCCGTAGGTTTTCTCCAATACTTGAGAGAATTGATTGAACGAAGGAGATGGCTTCCTTGCTATAACGCCGTAAATACGGCACCACCGTAATCATAAAGCTTGCGGGATCCGATTTCAGCAGTAATTGCACCATGCGATGGATATCCACATGGCGGGGAATCATCCGCATCATTACCTTTTGATTTCGCTCCACACACTGCTTGTACATCTCAAGCAGCGAAGGAAATAGCTGGCGAGGCTGGCGAAGGCAAAGTTTTAAGAAAAGCCCCAAATAACGCCCCAAGACCTCTTGGGCGCGGGTCTCCTCGACGCTTTTTCCGGCCTCACCGCCTTCCTCATCGTCGTTCTCCACGCCGCGAGTGGGGGAGAGGTGTTGGAAGCCGGGGATGGAGGCCATTTGGCGTTTAGCATGCCGTATGAGAAGCGCCTCCACCTCTTGCGAGATCACGGGCTTTCCTGACAAACCCTGCGCGCTGGTCAAAAGACTGCCGATCTCGCGAATCGCCAGGCGCCGCGCGTATTCCCGTGTCGAGGAGCACAAATGCAGAAGAAGATTGAGCGCACAGCTGCGGTAGACCTCCCGCCGGATTGCGATATTTTTGAGCAGCCAAAATCCAATAATACAGCGCACCTTATCCGAAGAAAGACAATATTGTCGATAAAGGTAATTCCACGCGTAGAGCGTTAGGCTCGGGGCTTGCAGAAGAATATCCAAAAGTATCGCATTGAGCTGGCAGGACTCCGCCAATTCCATCACGCGGCATAGAATATGACTGTACGCGTACGGCACCGATCGCGTATCATTTAAAAAGCAAAACCCATCGCCCTCATCTTCCTTCCCAAAGGCGTTCATCGACGTCTGGTCGTCGATATTCATCTCATTCCCTTCATTCCCACGTGGGCGCTTTTGCCCAAAAATCGCCCCGGGGGTCTCCAGGCCGCCATCATACAAAAATGCGATAGGGTTCTCCGTATCGATGGTGGGGGTTTTCTTCGAACGAAGAATCGCCCCCGCCGCGGTCGACGAGGCGGCGCCGCTGTCGCCTTGGATTAAAAGCCCGTCGTCCTCGAGGAGAAGGGCGGCAGTGGCGACGTCGGAGGCCCCGCGGGTCCTCACCGGGGCCTGCGCGGCGAAGGACATAAAAAGCACCTGCAGGGTCAGTTGATAATACGCGCCGGGTTGGCTCACCAGGCTTTGCACCCCGCTCGTGCCGGTGGGATTCCCCCCTCCTCCTCCACTGCTTTGATGTTGTTGGTGATGGCTTAGTTCTTGTTTAATCTTCTGCTCTTGACGGAATTCCCGGAGGAGGTGGAGGAGGAGCTCGTCGAGCGCGGCGTCCGACATCGCGGCTGGGATCTGCACCAGAGTTCGCGCGATAAGCGCCTGGGCATTGCGCACCGTCGTCTCTGACTCCTTTTTCATAAATCGATAGGAATTCAAAATCGAGCTAAACGCCTCGCGCAGCAGCTTCGCTCGCGCCGTGGTCTGACGAAGGGTTTTCAAGCCTTTTGCGTGCAAAAAGGCGCTGTTGTGGACGTGCTCCAAGAGCTTCCCCCACGGAATGGCATCCACGCCTTGTTGTTCGAGCCGTCGGAGCCGCTCCAGCTCCTCGGCCTGGGCTCGTTTGGAGGCTTCGTATTGCATAATCTGTAATCCTTGCAGGTGGAGGGCGTAAATGGCGTCCTCGGTGAGGAGGTTTAGCGCGGAAAGGCTCAGCATCACCATATCCACCAGCGCCGAGGCGGTCACGGGGCCTAGCGAGGACTGCAAAACCAGCGGCCGCCGCGCGCCCAGATCTAATCCTTCTTCCTCCGCCGCCAACGCCTCCAGGCCATCGCCGTCGTAATGCGGTCCATCCTTTCCGCCGCTTTTGACCGCGAGCACCGCCGTACAACGCCTAAGGGGGGACTCAGAACCCCCCAAGTTCCCTCTTGCCCACTCATCCGAAAAAGCCTCAGCTGTTTTATTAGTGTTGGGTTCGTTATCCTCCCGCATCGCCTGAGGCTTTACGGCTCCCCCGAAAGAGTTCAGCGCCGCCGTCAACACGGCGCGTTCCTGGGGCTGTAGAAGCTGCCGTTCATTGTCTATATTATTAATATTAATTGGTTCCACCGCGGCGCTTAACACACGCCGCATCGCGTGTTGAACGCTGGCGGAGCGAAAGACATCCCCCTGGCGGCTGAAATAACGACCCCCCTCACGCTCACTAAGGGAATTAAGGGTATTATTCATAGTCCCCGAAGCTGCACCCTCGGCCGAAAGGTGCTGGCGTAGTGTGAGGTATTTGTGCAATAATCCAATTAGCTCATTCGCGATGTGCTGGAAGACGGGATCCGCGGAATGCCCACCCCTTGTTGAGGGGTGGTTTGGCGAAAGGTCCGTCATCGGATCCTTCACGAGGTCCTCGCCGCCGCGAGATTTCCACACAACATACTCTAAAGCATGCAGAGCGGATGTCACCAGTAAAGCCGCACGCGTATTGCCACTTCCGATTCCATTTTCACGGAACGGCGGCGCACGGCTGCCGGAGTTGGTGGTGGGCGCGTTCAGACATTGAATTTGACTTTCCAAAGAGGTCTTCACCGGGATTAGCAGTCCATCGCATAGCTCCGTGAGTTCATGAATCATCACATCCGCATCGTGTGCATACTTCTCGTTCGGGATCGTATCTTTATGCTCTTGTAGACGCTGAAACCCATTCCACAAAGTATGAAAGAACTGCATTAGCGCATCGAGTATCCACTGACAAAGAATCATCTTTGCCGAGTAAGGTGTGCATCCTTCACTATCCGTGGCTGCGGAAACGACCAAACGCTTTGAAAGCATTACTCGCAGCGCATTCAGCTCCGAACGCGTCGACTGACAAAGTTCTTTTTCTTCCTCTTCTTCAGCTTTCCTGGCTGAGGTGGCGTTCAAACTGGGCAGAAAGACCAATGGTAAGGCGAGGGAATAGAGTAATGCCAGGGCCTGCATGAGGCTATGGTAGAGCACTGAGTCGTTGATGGTAAGAAGATCGCTAAAGAACATCGTTAGCAGGAGTATATCCGCTAGATTCAGTTGCCATTTCACCGTGTGTCGGGATTTTCTTTCTACCTGAACTTGTCGAAGGGCGTAGGATAGAAAAGAGGTGATTGCTCGCATGATGGCTTGCTCGTAGATATCGCGGTATGCCGCCTGGTCGCCTATGCTGTAGGCATCAATAAGGCGAAAGAGGTGCTCTTTCGCCTCCTCGATATCTACTGATCGGTTCCAGGATGCCTCCAGCTCCGAAAATGGAAGTTCCGAAATACTCGACGCCTGTGTAGCTTTGACAAGGAAGAGGTCCATTCCTTCAGATTTTTTCTGTAGTATTAGTGTCCTCTTTATTAGAGAAAAAATGATGTTCTTGTAATTTACTCTTTATACTTCCGAAACGGCGTAAAAGACGCCGAAGCGCACAGGGTAAATGAACTTATATATATATATATATATATATTTGTTCCCTAGGGTGGACAAATAAGTATTACGAAACACAGGAAATTTTTGGTAGGATTCACATGTTACACAAATATGAATCTATTTATCTTTATATGGCTATACTAGTCACTATATAACAAGTTAATTTTGCAGCAAATATTTAGCTCTTTTCGGTTCATATGAAACGGGAAGAATAAACCTAATAATAATAAGTTGAGCACGTATTCACCACAATACGAATGCCATAGAAAAAATTAATCAAACCCAATTTGTCAACAACAGCGCTTCTTCACCTTAAACACCATATTTTTCTTCGGCTAACAGTTTTCTCGCCATAAGTCACTAGTATCTTGATCTTTATGAGAGCATTTTGCTGTCACATTGATGGGAAAGCAGATTTAGCAGAATGAAAATTCAAAGACTTTACGAAGGACTTCAGGAGAAACACAAAAAAAATAATAACGATAAAAAACAGATCCTAATATTCACAACAAAGGAAGGTGTAGATTGGGGCTTTTCACTATACTTCACAAGATTACATCCATTCGTTTTCATTGTTGTTTTTCTCCACTTTAGTCCATCTCTCATCATCAGGACAGGAATGAGAGATCGCACCACATCTTTACACCTTTACCACAATGGACCTTTTTTGATGCAAACGAAGGATTTCACTGCTGATTTCTTTCATTACTTTTATGTGTAAAGGAAAAAAAAGAAGATACCGCAGAAATTAACACTACTCTCGTTTTCACAATTAGATAGACTACACTAAAAAAAGTAAAACAAAAACCCATACGTACTCTTGACATATATGTTGTTATTTGTAGTTATATTAATCAAATTAGTTCACTTTTTTTTCTTTGCACGACCTCTAAATAACTTCCACTTAGACTAGTTGTATACCTCTATCCCTACAACAATAATACACCTCCTTTCCTTTTTTTTCTAATATCGCCCCCTCCCCCCTTTCTCCTGTTACATCTCCGCCCTACGTCGTGACCGCGTTACTCAGGATTGTCTGCAGGGTTGTCGGGACCCCCACGTTGTCCTCCAGGTGGTCAAACAGCCCTTGTGTCACGTCAAACCACCTGTCACACATCCGCAGCCATCCGTCCAGGGTATAAGGGACTTTGGTGAGCTCGGGGATGTGCTGCAGGTACTCCAGTTCCATCTCCTGCAAAGGGGTG